CTTAAGGGCCCTTAAACCACCTATGATATTTTTGCAAATATTTGAAGTGAACACATGCATTATGTGCAGAATTCAGTCATGATCAATAAATGTCACACGTGACAGCACTAGTAGCTACCAGCACGCCACAAATTCGAAGAAAGAATCCCTCCTCTTCTCAGGGCTTTTCGGGCCTCTGTGTAACGCAGAGAAGTTGAATTTGACGTGTAGCTCATTCATGCTGTGATTGATTGAGCAGTCTGCAAGCAGCTGGTTTGTTGTTTGTCATGTTGCGTGCGTGCGCCACCTTCCTCTAACCACACACAGATTGCATCTGCATGCCACGCACGAGTAGAAAGGGGTTAATTCGTTAAAGGCAAGAAAATGGGGGGTGGTGTGCACAATGACTGTCTCTCACGTGAGTACACCTCAACCGACAGACTCGTGGAGAATAGAGATTGAAAGGAGAGCGAAGAAAATTACGTAAAAGAAGAGAGATATGAGAGGGAAGGGGGCGTAGATCAAGGAGAAGAAAAACCCGGAGGGGCACTTAGTGAGAGGGCAAAGTATATTTGAGAGAAAATACCAGCGGAGGGCCGTGAAGCAAAGAACGAAAGCAGCGAGTGCCACGTTTTGATGGTCAAAACGCATTTACCTCTACTATTTACCTCCTCAGTTCCAAGAACGCACCAATAAAAAAAGCTTTTGCAAAAACTGTACTATTTAACTCCCTGCTCTTAAAAACAAACACAGAAAAATTATGAATTAGAAAAACTGAACGGTTGTCACAAAATTTGATGGTACACATTTGCATACTCCTGATTTTTCGAAGTCTCTAAGATTGAGTGCAACAAAAATATCAGTCCGAAATGACTTTCAACATGATCTACAAGGCGTCCGCAATTCGAAGGAATGCACTATAGACGATGTTGTTCACGCTACAACTACGAAAAAAAGCTTTCGCTTATCATGACGACACATCCGAGCACTCGTGCAGTACTATACTATACTATAAACTATACATAGTCCTCCTACTTGCCACATATGCCTGTCGGTGATATGCATACCTGCCAACAGAAAAAATTTGTAGAACCTCCGAGCAGAGAAAGGGGGAGGAAAGGAGGTGCGGGGACGGGGGAGGTTACTGACTTTTTTAAAATTTGTAGCTGTAAGGGATTTGCTTTTAGTGACAAGCATAATCATATTTTGCCGCCATAAGTCAAATCGACGCGCTGAATTGTTTTCTCCCATTTCAAGCACCAAAAGAAATAAAAAGACATTGCAAAAAACAACAGGAAAGGAGGGGGGGTTCAAACGCAAGCGCAAGCATCGGCGTTGCAGTCTCATAATGGCCCGGAGTGGCCGAACACACGAGTATAGGGTGTTCCACTAAGGTGATAGTCTCAAAGGGAGAGCGCAAATGTTCCCGAAATTTCGCGTCATCAAAACAAGAAGAAAGAAAAATTGATTTTGCTCAAAACAACTCTGATATTTCTTCACACGTCAGCAGATGGGATGGCGCAGCTGACTGCCGCGAAAGTGCGCTCACAGCAAATTTTGGCGTTGCTTGCCACTAGAATCTCTGAACAGGAACGCCCTAACGCTTCTAGCCTTTTTTTACATCTTCACCACCTTTATACTACCACTGCATTAGCCAAGTGCCCTCGGAGCTCGCAGATCACTATCGTATCGCCGCGACTGCGTGGTTGCAGAAATTTTGTTTTCAATCTATGTGCCTACAAAACTGAGTCGTTTGATGCTATCTATGATTGCAACTATGCGGTTCTGTCCACATAGTTTGCAGAAAGCAGCGTTGCTTTGACTGGACGAGCGATGGCCGCGTGCACACTGAGTTCTGTCAGTAATGTCGTCGTCACACATGATCATGCCGAACGATCGCGGTTTCGTCCACAGCGGTTGTGGCAACGACAACCACGCACACTGTAGAAGACTGTGCGTGTGCTGGCCGAACGCGTACTTCCAAAACTTCGACCACGCTGCTCTCGATCGGCTTTCGTTCTACGGTTTCGGTACTATGTTCACACGACATGTCGCAATTAAAAAAAAAGTGTTCGAAACATTCGAATTTCAGCCAAATCAACACATGAATTTCGCTGGGGAATTTCACGAATTCGTATCTGCCGTGGGATAGCATCTCTAAGACTCTACTGTACGTTTAGATGAGTGCCTCTCAAATTCATTTATAATAAAATGCGATGGGTTTGAAAAAAGCCCGGAACGGACTGACCCGCATTTTTGTCAATGCGACCAGATCTTGCACACAAATTTCAATTTCCAGGAGATTTTCATGGCAAACATACAAATGGAAGAAACGGTCCGAATTCGAGAGTCTCCTGAACAATGCAGGAGACTTGGCAGGTGTGTCATGATAACACCAATACATATTGTTCTCTCCTGGTGGCGCCGTTTTTGTCGCCTCCGCAACTAGCTACGGCACAGAGCCGTCTCTGGTGTCACTAGTCGCTTCTATGGCGTCGTAGTCACGCCCACATGAGTGCCCACCTGCGCTGCAAAAAACAGGCGTCCCACAAAACTTTCCTGCAACCGCATCTGAATTGAGTGAGGACGAGCGTAGAGTCCGAGGATGACAGTACTTCACCTTCAAGTTTTATGGCGGCAATGCTTTGCGTCAGCCTGAGACGTCCTCAGCAGTTGACGGGTTTGTTTTGTTTATAGCCTCACGTTGTCTCTTCCGCCACAAGTGTGTAGCTGCTGACCTTTGTCACAATCTTACAGCTGCTCTGGTTATGTGTGAGGCCCACATGTCGCTGGGGCGCATTGTGATAACACCGGCTGTAGATTCTCCTCACGAAAAGAAGGTGACCGAAGCGTGTCTTGGCCCTGACTACGGAGCAGCGCCAAATGTTTTAAAATTGCGCACGATACTGTTTTTTTCTAAATACGATATGCTGAACTGCAAAAATATATGCATGGATGCATATATTGAAATGCCAACCTATGCGGACTGAGGTGGCTCATGAAGATAGCCGACGCTGAACGAAATAGCGAAGTTCATAGGACACGTGATTTACAGAGAGATTATTCACATCACGGGCATCCATCTTATATTGGAACACCTGTAAAGTCTTGTCATATAAAAAATGTTACTGAGAAAAATGTACGAGTTCACTTGTGTCTCACGAAAAATCAAGCAGTGCTTCACCGCATGGCACAAGTAATGAAGCAGCACCTCGGTTCAGATTTTCTGTCTCTTTGTGAACAGAAAAGTTTCGTACAATTATTATTTTTATACTGTTTCTAGGTCATTTATTTTCAAAATGTATATTGCAAATTTTTTCGTTATGAATATTTTTGCACATAAAGTGTTCTTATTGCACTGTTTACCAGCTGGCAACCAAAACTTACACTTTTCACATATTCATCCATTGCAAAATATATTTTTTGCTTTGTAACATATATTTTTGAAAGAGCATTTCATTGCTCAAAATTCAATATGCTGCACTGCGTGCTGGAGTACTTTTTGAACTGGCAAAAACGATCTTCCCGGGACATATAAAAAATAACAAGTTTTGCATGGTAAGGAAAGAGTTAAAGGAGCTATGACACATATGCAGTTTCTAAACGACACTGCTGACGTCAAAGCTGCCGTGACGTGGGTATTCTTGCTGTGGCACCGCTATGCATCGGCTAGCCTAGCTACAACACAGCTATGCATAGGCCCTGTATCACGCTAACCATGCACGGCTATGCTACTCCACACCAGATGCGACATGACACCACGCGCAATTATGGTGATGTCACACCAGCTGTGGGGGAGCTCAGCACAATAGCTGTGCGGACTATCATAGGCCTATCTCGGCACCAGCTGCTCCATGGCACATGTGCGGCTAGAGCAAGGTTGAAAACAAGTGGTGCACAGCTGTGGAGTCATTGTTGCTAGGTGACGGTGCGGAGGGCTTTTTGTGGACAGACAGATGTTTCACAGCTAGCTTTAACCAGCTTTGCTCATAAAAAAGACCACAGAGAATAATGGTGACAAACGCATCTACAATAATATTATGATGACCAAGTTATTACTGTGACACAATTTTTCAAATGACCATGCGACGAATTTACTAACAGAGCTTATTGCCTCACAAATTCAGCACCACAAAAATTTTAAAAATACGTCCAGTACGAGCAGAATTACAATTATTTGTCCCACTGCAATCGCATTCTCTCTTCTCTCGTCCCGACAAAAGCGCTGGAAGCTAAGGAGTGAAGGATGGCGTGGACAAAGAAAATACGTCACGCGCGCCTTGCGACCTGGAGAACTTTTTCTTTTTTTTCTTTGTATACACAGCCTTTTCAGGATGATCACGTGCGCACACGTGGGCAAGTCATGGTCTCCTGCGGCGATCTTCCTAACGACCAGCGCCCCATGTTCAAATCAGCCATTGGCTGATAGGTGGCCTTCAACGAGCGATTTTTGAGCTTTTTCCGTCATTTGTCGAGAGCCCCCCGCCGCGGTGGTCTAGTGGCTAAAGTACTCGGCTGCTGACTCACAGGTCGCGGGATCGAATCCCGGCTGCGGCGGCTGCATTTTCGATTGAGGCGGAAATGTTGTAGGCCCGTGTGCTCAGATTTGAGTGCACATTAAAGAACCCCAGGTGGTCAAAATTTCCAGAGCCCTCCACTACGGTGTCTCTCATAATCATATGGTGGTTTTGGGACATTAAACTCTACAAATCAATCAATCAATCAAATCAATTAATTTGTTGAGAGAAAAGAAATCAATTTCTGCCTGACTTTGACAACTTATTGTGAATTACAGGTCGCATCCTGTGCTGTAATATTTGTCTTGCGTACTGTCGGGAGCCTCTACTACCGATTGGCAGCGTTTTCTCACCATGCTGAAAAAGTGTTGCAGGGCCCCTTTAAACATACTTAGATAGGTCAATGCTGCAGGTTTTCTTTTTTACCTTTCACAATGTTTTAAAACCATCCAAACATGCTTTCATCGAACATTACAATTCACCATCTAAGGAAACTAAATTTACCTGGCAAGAACCCAGGAACATCCACAAATGTGATAATCGGAATGTTGAATGCATCACAAAAGCGGACAAATCTTGCACCTTTAACAGAGGAGTTGATGTCCAGGCAACCTGTAAGGTGTACGTACATAATAGAATCAGACAATCAGCAGCATAAAGAACAGAAAGGAAAAAAAAAAAACATAGCAAAGGGAGGGTTTCAGCTTTGTTTTGCGTACACAAATACATAATGCAATACACAGACTGACTGTGCTAGCTAGCCTTTGTAATGAAGTAATTAATGAGTGCGGTGAGTTGGGCGGGTTTGTAGACGCATATCTTCGAAATTTTAGTGCCAAAAGACAAAGGCAAAAGAAAGACGCAGACAACATGAGCGCTCATGTTCTCTGCGTATCTTTTTTTCTTTGTCTCCATTTTTTGGCGCTAAAATTTTGAAAAAGTAAACTAGTATGACAATAATGGCAAGGTTAAAAAGGTTAAAAAAAGAGTGCTCCTTGATATATGAACAGCTGCAGAAAGAACTTCAGTAAGTGAGTGCCCAATGTGCACACATCATTGTCCATACAAATACTCCTGACTGGACGAGTTGGTGCATTATAATATTGTACTGCTATAGTGCAGCTGAGTTGGAGCATGAAGAAAAGATGCATCAGTGAAGAATGAAAACACTGACAATAGGATTAGCACTCATTTTGTTGTCTGTGTTTGCCTTTTTCCCTCTTATTAAGGAGAACTAACAGACAATGATGCCAAGAGAAGTATAGGGTATGTTATTAGAACTAACTGCAATGTAAATGTGAAGAGAGAAAAGTGGACGGAAAGATGACTTGCCACCGACAGGACGCAAACTGTTGCATCTTCATGCTCAAATTGAGATGAGCTATAGCAATTCAATGTCCATACAAAGTGATGTTTCATCAACATTTCCAAAATAGTTACAGTATATTGCCTAATTTGCTATGGTGCTGAAAAGAAGTGGGAGCACAAATGCAAACACAAGTGGAACTAAAACTCTAGCACAACTTCTCTTCTACTTGTAGCATGTTTGCCGACCTGCTTTACAATGCCATGGGTTCTTTGAAACTTGATTAATTTCGAGTCGTTTCAATCTCAATTGTCAGGCACATTCTCAATCCATCTATGGTAGCGCAGTTAGGGATGGCTACGATTGCTGAATATTTCACTGCCAATAGCACAACTTCCCATGCAAACAATATCTCATTTTATCTTATTTCATTTTTTTTCACGCATCTTCTTGTCGTTTACTGTAGTTACAGCCAAAGGAGCGGCTTTTTAAGCTTTGATCAATGGTAACGTCTATTTTTGTGATGACCGTGCAGGCTGTTGTTAGTTTCCATGATCAAACCAGATTTTTCGAAATTTCACAGACTTTTTCCAGACTTTTACAGAAGGATACAAATTCCCTGAGTTTTTCAGGTTTTCCAAGCTCGTAGACACCCTGGTCAGTGCTTAATGCTCACATTTTCAAAATCGCGCAATAAACATTATTCTTCAAGAAAATGAGGCATGTGGTCGCACTCGACGGAACTAAGGACAACGCGCTTTGGCAGGGTGGTGACAGCAGTAGTGAGAAGGATTCCAAACGGGGAATCCTAGTCGGAAATCAGAAGCTAGTAATTCCGACTAGATTCTGCATGAATAGATCTGGCTCGTTAGAGTATGTGCCGACTCTTTTCAATAAGCAAGTACTGTCGGTGATGAAAGCTTGCGGGATCTGCAGCGCGTGGTCGAGTGACGAAATTCTAAAGAGTCACTGGGTGAAAAACTACATTGTTGCATCACTTACATACACACGTCTTTGTATTGAGGATTTGATTAGATCTGGCAGGGGACCATCGTCTAAACACGCGGTAGCGAATCGCTGAGGCCATGGCCCACAGCCTCCATACCTCAACATGGTAGGTGATGCAGCAATGCAGTTTCTCGTCACTTTGCCACATGTTGCAGATCCCACATTCTTTTCCTGCCGACAGTACACTTCGTTGGTGCTCCAATTCATTTTCTTTCTTGAATGTGTAACAGCATGCTAGGACTATATACTATTGCCAATTATCTCATATGAAATAGCAAAATCTCCACATTATTTGTGCAGCCACTTCTCAGAGCTCCAAAATCTCAAAAAACGTGCAAATTTCGCGAGTACATACGGTAGTGCAAATTACACTCAAGTAAATTTTTATTCTAAACCTGCAAACATTGGGTGCATGTTAGATTACATTCCAGTAAATGTGCCATTTTTTTTTTCCTCTGGTGGTACCCGAGAGGCATACAAGGAAAGTGGTGTAAAAGTGTGTTTTGAAATGGAGGTTTTTGTTAGATTATTTTTATGGTTGCTTTGCCAAACTAAACAGGTTGAACTTGTAATACGGGTCACTGCATGACTGGAGGACGTACAATAGAGGTTCCACAATAAACGGGTACAAAACAGCTTAGGAGCTAAAAAAAAAGAAAAAATAGCAGTGACTTAGCTCGGTTATGCCAGAATATATGTAGTATTAGCTACGGATGGACAGACTGAAGAACCATAGATGGAAGGACAGACAGGACAGGCAGATGGACAGAGAGATGAGCGGATGGACAGATGAACAAGCGAGCAAGCTCCCTCAAGTGCTAACCCACTAGCAACACATTACTTTAGGAGCTTCGAGGTCTTCTACGACGCGTCAGCTGTGCCCCTTGCGACATCACAGCTACTCTGGCATGTGCAGCATGGCTCTCGACAAGCCAGGCGAAACTGCTCAGCCTTAGCCAGTGTAGCTTACGCTACAAAATAACATTAACTTACAAATGTGCCACAAAACAAGAAGGAAAGTCGAATTAATAAACGCAAGCAGTTTTCATAACAAGGAACAGCTTGTGCTACTGCACTCACCTGCCGCCGACTTGGGGTTGTTGGCCACAATGCCAACAGTCTGACCGTTCATCCGAGCAAACCCGATAAGCAGATTCTTTGCGTATGTTGGCATAATTTCGAAGAAGTCACGGTCATCAACTACCTGCAAAAAAGAAACCCACACTTCTTTCACACAAACAAGCTCCACAAACATATATAGTATCTGTATAACTTCTTTCACACAGATATAAAATGACTCTAAGTCAAAAACTTCCAGGGCAAGATAAATCTGTAGAATAAATTATTAATCGTTCAAGGAAGAACAGACAATAGAGGAAAAACCAGTGAAGATTTTTTTCTTTTCAGAGTTTTTCAGCTTCAGTTTAAACAGGATATACAGCAAAGTCTCATTATTTAGACCCCCGTTAATTCATAATTTTGGTTAGTTAACAAGCCACATAGCACTGGATTACTACTAAAATGAGAGGCTGCGCATCGCTACTGTCATCAGCGACGAGCAACCATCACATTTGCCTTTCTTTCACTCTGGTGCGTCTAACACGTTCGCGAGACGGTTGACTGAGTCAGATTCTTTTCCTGTACGGTGCTGTTGCTTTTAAATTATTTATTTATTTATTTATCTATGCACATTACTTGGATGACTGCCCAAGTCTTTCAAGCCTGGCTGTGTCAGCTCAACTGCCACTTTGCAACCAAGGCTCAGAAGGTGCTGTTGAAGCTGAACTGCAGTGCGCACACAAAGGTTTCCGGGTTTGAAAACATTAAAGTTCTATGCCTGCCTCTGAGCACCAATGCATTCTTTGCAGCCAACGGCCCAGAGAATCATACAGTTTGTGAAAAGCCGTTAACGACGGCAGGTACTTAAAGGCAGGCAAGCAGTGTGAGGTAAACCACATGCTCATGCATTCACCAACTGCTTTAGGCATCGTGCCTATGCTGCTAACCAGGGTGTGGTGGCAGATGTTTTTCAGAAAGCAAGAAGGGCGCTGTGTAAACAAGTTTATGGACAATTACTTTGCAACAAAAAATGATGTCAATGATGCCGGCAAAGTGACAGGCAGCGATATTGTCACTGAAGTCTTAGATAGCGCAGGGAAATAGATTGACAAGGGCCCAAGATGCAGACGAACACTTAAGCCAGTCAATGACGAAGGCTTCACATGCCTTGGCCATCTTAAAGGACATGCGCAAGTTTTCTTCAGACAGTGTGTGCGGACTAAGCCACCTACAGGAATTTCACAAAACTACGGCTTCTCACACATTGCCTGTGCAAAGCAAACTGCGATCACAAACTTCTTGAAGAAATAATAAAGTCTGGTAGTGTAGAATGTTTTGATTGTATACTCGGGATAATTCGTGCCCTCTGTCAATTTGGACATTCTCTCTGGTCACGTGAAGTCTGAATTAAAGGTGTTTTACTGTATTGACCTATTGCCTATAATAAACAGTAGCAACCTCCCCTTTCAAGTACTATCTAAGTCTCCGGCATACACTACACCTATGCAGATGTACTTCTTGTTGATAGTAGGGTTTCTTTGTCTCATCGCTTGAAATATTCAAGCCAATGAAATGGTCCTGTTTTAACAGATGCCATTAAACAAGACCCTTTCCCAGTGCAGGGTAGGAAACCAGATATTTGCTTTCTGGTTAACCTCACTGCCTTTCTTGATACCATACCTTTCTCTCTCTCTAGAAATAAATTACATGCCATATAAAAAAAACATGAATGGCTAATACTAAGAAATTACAAGTTTGCTTTAGGTGACTTAATTACAATGCAATCAGGTTGTGCACGAAAGCATATTAAATATTTTGCTTCTTTTCCATTCCAAAACCACCCCTTAATTAATAAATATACTGAGGTTGTAAGTACACAAATGTTTGGATTTTTACACTATCAAATACAGCTGCAGTTGCCAAGAATCAAACCCTTATGCTTAACCACACAATGCTTTAGTTTCTCAGCAACTTCAATCATACTTTTACATGAATACGTATGATACCTTTACATGAAATCGCTTGCTTATATTCCATCAACTCTAAGCTGAGGCTTTGTTTGACTTTACCATCATGCAATGACTGTGCCATGTGTGGCATCTTCGAATGAACATCTTTTTTTCTGATTAGAATGGCCAGCAGTGCAGCATGCAACCTTTGAAGCCGTGAGGAGATGGCTGAACAGATTGTGTGTTACTGCCCTTTATACCAAACTGGACGACCTGCTCTGCAAGCCAACCTATACTGTCTTGATGCAAGACCAATTTGGGAAAACAAAATTAGGGGCCTTCACTTACACTTTTGTAGATTGACAACGCCACGGAAAGCCTACTGTGCTTCCTGAAGTCGACTGGACTTTACAAATGCTTGTGGAACAACTAGCACATATTTCTGTTCCCAATAGCTGATCAAGTCTTGCTTTTACAATTCCTTTTTTTTTCTTCTTCTCTGATCTATGCCCTTTTTCGCTTTCTATGCACAGAATAAGCAAACGTGGTTGGTTAAGCTCGCTTTATTTTCTGTTTGTTTCTCGCTCTCTCTACCTAGCTGCTAAGCTATCCCAGTCGGTGTTAGAAAGCATGTTAAAGATGTGTACTGTGTGTGTATGTGTTTGTGTGCTTTTTTTGTCGTCTATATCTGAAAATAACTAAATAGAAAATGGGTGTGGCTCGTACCACCCGGAGGTAGAAGGGGCTCAAGCCAATCTAACATAAATGAGGAGGAGAAATGTCACAAAGCAATTTAAAAAATACAATTTGTTAAAAAAAATGATAAGAAGAAAGAAAACCCAATGAGTGCGGCATGTGAGTGTGGGCAATAGATCGATTAGATTCTCAGGAAAGAGCAGTTCGAAATGCATCGGAGCCGTATTTTTTCCCAAAGTTCAGTGTTTGGTGTATGTGCATGTGAATGTGTGTATGTTTGTTAAAATGCGATCCTGTTGAATGTGTGAAAGTTTAAACATGACGGCGAGATGGGATGCGACCTAGTGACCTGAAAGATGAGGTAAGTGCTGATGAGGATAACAAGAGTCTGTCAGAGGTCGAAGTCCATTTCTAGGCCAGGAGCGGGGTAGCTGGGCACGCTGTAGTTTGATTCAGGCTGAAATAATGTGGCACGGTTTTAAATGAAAAATGAGCAAGGAATTATTATTTGTGCACGCGCTGCGCATGCCATGGTTCACATAATGAGGGAAGATGGAGAAGCGATGCTGTCATTATCGGTCACAGCAGTTTTCCTGCCTTTGTTGGTTAACTATATTCGAGAGCATCAACGTAAATGATTATGATTGCCTAGATTAGTGAGAAAAGCAAATTCGAGTATAAAGCAATGTTTGTGAGTGAGTGTCTTTTCAAATTGACTGACCAGAAAACATGAAAGATAGCTGAGCTTCAATTTGAAGAGCGATTGGGCCCTGTCCACAACACCTTCTCAATCGCTAGACTGGTTTTAAATTCTCAGCAGACACCTCAACTATGCCACTAGGAAAGGATCATGTGTGTCCGTAAGAATGGCAAGCTATCCGAGAATGCCTAGTACAAGTATAGCAATTACAAAGTGCCTACAACTCTTCCTTCTACAAATTTGCACTTTGCCCACTATGCATCCATAAGGCAGTATGTGTACCTACCAGCTGCACACTTTATTAATGCTTTTGCTAACAATGATTATTACGGCTATGCCTGAGCGGTTCGGGATGAGTGAGCCTACAAGTCACGCACTCAGTGCAATTCTACACATTTTCCAAGCAATATTACATGTGTATGGCTTATTTATAGGGTTATTTTCCAAAACACTTTCAGCCACAGGCACGGTTCAATGGAAAAAAACCTGCTCGCCATGCAGAAAGCCTGGGCATGATTCCCACTCAGACCAAGATTACTGTTATATATTTGTATGTATCTCGAATTTTTGCTGAAGGACATTGCTGCTTTCTCGCTTGCAACTTTGCGAATGCCAACAACGAAATTCTGCGACATGAGATCTTTAGCGCTCTAATGTTAATATAGTCAAATCCACGACAACAAAATTTCGGCCACCAATGAATAATTTTCTATTCCCTGCCAGCTGCCCACAAAAACAATGTGAAAAATGTCTCATCACAGCAAATACTTTTCCAGTATACCTACTTCCACTTGAACAAAGTTTTTGTGAGTGCTAACACATATAGAAAATAAGCTTAACTATAATTGCGGTGCGATTCCGCAAGCAACAACACTTTTTCACTGACTAGTGCAACTTTCAAAACGGTGCTGTCGCATCACAACATACGTGTCTTCATTTGAGACAGTCTTTCTGTCGCCACATGCACATCCCTGTAAATTTTTTGCCATTGGGATGCTTGGCAGCAGGTCGCCCATCTATCACAATGCTGTTGGTGGGTTTGATGCGCATGCTAGATGGTGTGGAAAGGTTGGAGAGCTCCAGCCATTTTTTTAATGTGGCACTCAGAACAAAACTACCACTCTGCATCACAATCCCAGGGACTGAGAATGACACCCGCAGCTTTATGAAGGCACACACACGGCCAGTAAGCCCCTAGTCTCAGCGTATTACATGTATTACACTCTGCCTCAACTGCTGCGTCCACAAATGCAGTCATGTCAGCGCGATCTTGAGCAAACATGCACACGCGCATCCAACATGCATCGACTAAAACCAACGCTGCTTGCCACAAAGCTGAAGACATAACCACGGCAGGCACGCTGCAGTATTGAAGGCATGCACACAGCCAGTGCACACGCATTGAAAACGGAACTACAGTTAGCCGCAACCCCTGCGCAAAACACCACATTTGCTATTGTTGCAATCACTGATAGCGAATACACTCAGCCGAAGATTAAAGGCCACAACGATACAAAATGGCATGAAGCATCGCGGCTTTTCTGTCCTTCATGTATGACTATGATAGCATAATCTCTCGTGACGCTTTGGCAAGCCCGTTCGCGGCACTGCGTGCTCAGCACATTCCAAACGGCAGTCTGAATATCGCATTTTATTCTGTATAATCAGCCCTTGAATATAACCAGCCCCCTCAAAACAAACCACGGGAAAAGTAAGATAACGTATTTATGCGAGGCCGCCTTCCTTAACAGTGAAGCCCTTTTGCACACTTAGATTAACCAGCACCTCGAGTTTAGCTCCAAATTTTCTGTATATTTTGTGTGTGTTATATCCAAGAAAACATGCTCACTCACTGTGTGTCCAAGTGCATCTGAGCTAGCAAGAGTTCAATGCATGTGTTTTCAGGGGCCAAGAGATGAGGCTCCATGCCTTGCAAACTTTTGTGATTTAGACATAAGACTTTAGTGCCACGAAATTCCACAACCACGAACTTTTTTGCGCGTTTCATCAATTTCATTGTAGCGGGATTAGACTGTACACTAAATGTATTAATTGATGGGCTGGTTGTGCTAATATAATATGCTTTAGCCACATGCATGAATTATGGATGCCGAAATATTTGAAATTTCAAATATTTTTCAAATCGTGTTTGCTATTTGATTCTATTCCCACTAGAATTTTACTATACGAACTTTCCAAAGACATTTGGCAGCAGTGTTTACAATCGTGAATAAGTCGCTAATAGACTGCTACTTTCGTCACAGGACAAGTGTATGAGGAACTATCTACGAGTCGAAGCAAGGAAAAGATATTGCCTCTGCAAGTGCATCACCAGCGGACTGTTTCGACACGAAAGTGACTGGTCTGCTGCGTCTGCCCTCTACCAGCCAAATTCCCGCATATAAGCAAGCATCGCTGGCGCCGAGTCGCAGTTGACAGCAGTGGTGGGGATTGTGAACAAGTCGCCAATCTACTGCTACTTTTGTCACAGCTTGGTCTCAGTTTCTTAACCCAACCACTTTTTTTTTTTTTTTCAATAATTTGTATACCGTTGCCACTGCTGCCTAATCATGTGCTGCTGTACAATGCTGACGAATGACGAGTTGGCAAAAGAAATGAATAGTTTACCATTGAGATCGCTGCAATGCGTGAGAGCCTCAATATGTTCAGTGAACTTGTAGAGAATGTTAAGAAGCAGAATTGCGACCTTGTTACTGAGAACAAAATTTTGGAGGATGACAATAAACAACTGACACGGAGGATGTCTAAAACTGAACGGTACTCCCACCTAAATAATATAGAGATAAAAGGTGTCCCTGCAACAAAAGGTGAAAGTTGTCTTGCAGTTCAGTCCATGGATGAAGCTGTAGGGTGTAAAATTGCCCCTGAAGATGTCCACACTGTGCAGCGTGTGCCAGCCAAAAAAGACAAAAACTTTATCAGACGCTTCGGCTCCTGAGAAAAAAAAGACAGAGTTCTTGAAAAAAGTGTGAGAGGCTCGCTTAGCGACTGTGGCCCTTGAGTTTTCCCAAATAAATCAGAAGCCCTTATATGCGAACGATCATCTCATGCAAGAAAGGAAACGGCTGTTCATGCAGGCACTTAAACTGAAAAAGGCCAAAGGCTGGAAACATCTCTGGACTGACCGCTGCGTGATTAAGGCCCGAAAGACAGATGTCAGCCGCGTCTATCATATCTCCTGTGCGGGTGACCTTGTGTTTTCTTAGTCTACTGGTGGTACTACTTGCGATTGTGCACCTTAAATCTTCACTAGAATGTTTTCTTGTCAAGCTCTGAAAAAGCACATCAGTGTTAAAACCCAGAACTATAACTGATACATTTTAAGATTTGCAGCCTACGTAAAAACTATAATAGTCTCACCGCATTTCTTTCTTTACTATTAACAATTTCTTATGCATCTGTTTATCTGAAACATGGTTGTTTCCGGACGATGCAAACTTGTATTCGCTATAAGAGTACAATGCAGAATACTGCTATCGTGCTACATCACGTAGCAGTGGATCTGCCATCTTTACTAAACCATCGTCATAAAAACGCCGCAATGACCTTGCGTTTTCTAATATGCACTGTGAATTTGTATGGTTAGAATTTGATAAGTGTGTTTTCTCGGTTGATGGCCAGAACACAGTATTAGGGTGCATTTATCGTTCACCAACATCTTCGTACTCTGAGTTCTGTTCTCTTTTCGACAAATTGTTGCATGAACAAAAATATAATCATCTGCGGAGACATCAACATAAACATTATCGACCCTAGCCATCAGTCATGTTCTGATTATCTCGGGGTGTTTACATGGCCATGGCCTTGAATCTTTAATAACCGCTCCTACCAGATGTGACATGTCAGGATCTAATATGTTAATTGACCACATACTAACCAATATTGTTATGGATAATGCAAAAGGAGTCATTGAGCACAGTATAACAGATCATTATCTTATATTTCTTACTCTGGGTACGAATAATTTCAAGGGCAAGGAATACAAAGAAAGGACACGTTTTGATTCCCAAAAATTCATATATATGGTACAATCAACAGACTGGAGCGACGTAATAAATGAATCCAGTGCTGAGAAGGCCTATCACCTATTTTTGACTTCAGTTATTTATGCATGAATGCACAAGTATACATACCATCAGTAATCATTTTAGTACTCCCCAAAAAACCATGGATTACAAAAAATGCTACTTCGATGCATTCTAAAGAAAAACCAGCTTCACAACAGAGTGAATTGTGAGCCATTAAACCTTGAACTTAAGAGTTTGGTTCAAGAAATGTTTTCACGCTCTATACGAGTCCAAAGAGTCGACTCATAAGCGAGTTCTGACCTGTGCAAGCAATACACGGTGTAGACTGATAGCAGCAAACATAGAGCATCGCCGTCGATATTCTGTCACGTAATAAAGTGTGGCGGCATTTATACATGTGTCATCGAACATTTCAGCGTTACCGCTAGCGGCCGCATAATTTCCAGAACAAACTGTATTGTACATGTTGTGCATGTAATCTCATCGAAAGGTTCTAAGATTATTTAGATAGTCCTCAGTCATTCGGGCGCGGTTGGCACGAGGCACCATTACACGCGTAATGGCGCGGTAACAATAATAAAGAAAGGAGCACGTGTGGCATCGCCATTACGACATTACAAATTGTTGCTATTGCAGTCATCACTATGCCAGTGAGAGTAATTTTTATTTTTATTGTTTTAGTTTATATGACAAAAAAACTCGCCGCACTGTTGCCGAGCAACTGTTGAGCACAGCAAGCGCTCGGCGATTGCTCTGCAATGGTGTGGTGAGTTTTTTGCAGCAGCACTGCCGTCTTTATAGTTTGCCTAACAGATTTGCTGCTAAAACATACATAGAGTCACATAATGAGGTATGCACACAAACACCAACTTAACAAGAATCACGAATTGTTTTCACAAAATGCAAGGTTCATGCATGTTCCGAAATATGACGTTTGACATGAATGCAGAATTTTATATGTACGCGGTTGTGTTCTTTGTGCAGCCCAAGCGTGTTGCTTGGTCGGTGATAAAACTCTCGGCTAAATATAGCTTTACACGTGCGAATTGTCGTTTAGGCATGGCTTGGCACAGCAGGTTAGTTCGGTGCAGCATGGCGCAATTGCTGCAGCACTACCAGCCCTGTAACTATCATGGCAATGTGACTGACCATGAGGAAAACTTGCCATTGGCGAGCATGGTGGCACATAGCAAGCTGTCCCAGAAAGCTTGCTCTGGATACTACATCCATGCAAGTTCCTCAGTTGCTCATCTGTGATCAGATTTGAGACCACATGTATGAATAAGACTGCTGTACAAACTAAGTTTGGGTGTTCAAGTGATTAGCTAAATGGTACAGCACACTCACTTACTGAATTCGTTCACTAGATTTAACGGCCTAACAATTTTTGTAGACAGAAAACTCTCAACACTAGGCTTGTGCAAATAGCAACTTTAGTCGAATAATTTCTAATCCAATTTGAATAGTGCCCATCACATATTACAAAGAAAAATGGGCATATTTGTCATGACCCAACACACCTGATTGATTGATATGTGGGGTTTAACGTCCCAAAACCACCATATAATTATGAGAGACGCCGTAGTGGAGGGCTCCGGGATTTTCGACCTCCTGAGGTTCCCAACACACCTGCACAGCATCTTTTTTTTTTTCTATATTAAAACATGGCCTGTGCAAATGGTATTTTTTCTAATAGAAGTGAGAACAACTTTGAATAATAACAATATTTGATTTTGGTAGAAAGCAAGTGATAACCTACAAAATATGCAAGGTTAAAGTTCAAAATAAAGCGTATAAGCCGGGAAGAACAATCTTTAAAAATGATGAATCGATATTAGACTGATACGTTCATTTATCCTTGAAGTGGGGCTTTGCAGCAGTGCAGATTTTTCCTGGAAAGATGTTTTCACGGTTTGGCACTCCTTAACTGAAGTGAAACTGCTCTTACAGACAAGGTGTATGCGAATTAATGTGCACCTTGACAGGTGCTTTCACAGCCTAGCAACCCTTCCCTACAGTGAAACCGCCTTTACAAAAAGTTGCATGCAGAACTAATTTACAACTATTCGTTTATATCGAATACTTCGAAATGTTCAACAATTCAAATTCAAATCAAGCAAACTCAAATACAGTAATATTGATTCGAAATTTTCAAAGCATTCGAATATTTGCACAAGCCTACTCAAAACCGTTGCAGTTTCAACTGCTGACATCAAAGTCAAATGAGCGATATTGATAAATTCGTGAGTGTGCGTCAAGCTTATCAACCTTGATGACTCGGCAAATCCAAATAGCCTCTGCAGTCGCTGCCATTATCAGATTTGAAGTCGACATTATTGACTGATCTGCAGCGCTGGACAATACTGTATGAACAGACTATCGTAATGTTGAATAAACAATTAAGACTTGCTTTTTTTTCATATCTACTGTTATTATACAGCCCGATTGCTCATAAACATCTATGACCACTTCATAGACATTTTTGTCAATGACGTTGGCTGGCGAAAAATGCTGGCAATTTATAGCTTACATCAAGAATGACGTCGTGCATATTGTAAGCGGCCGTAGACTCCAGGGGCACCACAGTGTCCAGGCTTGGAACGATGCGATCCCTGCGCAGCATAAAAATTAAAAGCACATACGCATGAGAATGTCTTGTCGGCTGGTTAGGTGAAAACACCCACGGTTTAGCCACTCTGAAGCACACACACTTCTATCACAATGGCAGCACTTAACACCATTCAATCACCATTCAATAATTTATGAACCTAATAAGGTGCATCTAATTTGAATTATGAGCTTTCTTGTTATTCCGTTATGCTTTTTTTCTTGATGTTTAGTATGTATTTTTTTTTACTCCACTCCCACATGGGCCGTGAAAAGCTTGCAGTATGTTCAAATAAAAAAATTAAAACCACGATATTGCCTAGGGGTCGTGACGACGATGAAGGAAGCAGACAGTAGGTCGAAGATTAAACTGTTTATTTAGCCAAACTTGTGGCCACGTAAAAGGAAATTGAGATTACAGCAAGACACTGGCACTGATCGTCGGTCGTCGATCGACTGACAAGCGGCGAAGCATGTCGGCATTTGTAACAATACCGATTGTTGGCCTAGTTGGTACTTGCTTAGTGACATGCTTTGGCCGCAAAATAACGCACACACAAAGTAAAGAAACACTCAACCTGCTTGTGCTTGTCATTGAGTCTTTCTTTACTTGCGCCTACCTGAGTAAACGCAAGCAAGCAGTGAGGATTGATGGTTCTTTTTCAGCTACGCTAGATGTGTTTTCAGGTGTGCCTCAAGGGTCCGTGCTTGGCCCGCTGTTGTTTTTGTTGTACATAAATGATATAAGTACTACTCTAAAGCCACCTGTTAAGATGAAACTTTATGCTGATGATTTGAATTATATGCCTGTAAGCATATAACCCCATATATGCCCTGTAAGCTGTACTGATGATCAACTCGAGTTGAATAAGTGCCTTAAAGATTTGGAATCTGTGGTGTTGCGAATGGGATATGCAAATTAACTTAAAAAAAAACAACATATGTACACATTACCAACAAGAAAAATGTTTTCAATTTCCAGTACAACATCCGGAGTAACAAACTCACTAAAATATCCCATTTTAAATACTTAGGGGTGACAGTTCGAAGAACCTAACTTGGCACCGTCACATTGAATCGGTTTGTTCCGAGTCATTTAAAAAACTGTGTTTTCTACGAGCAAAGATGCATAAAACACCGAAACACGTAAAGCTGCTTACATACTACACATATATTAGACCTAGACTGGAATACCCCTCTGTGGTTTGGAGCCCTCACCAGAAACACTTGGTCACTAAGTTAGAACGTATTCAGAGGCGTGCAGCTCGGTTTGTGTGCTCTAGATATAGAAGGCGGGATTCAGTAACTGATATGCTAAATTCATGCAATTTAGAATCACTGGAAATTCGAAGACGGAAACAAAAACATTATTTTGTAGAATCCAAGGGATATTCAAAAATACCTAAAGACGAGTACATACGCCTTCCCGGAAAGCGTAGCACTAGATTGAATCATGATGCCCCCATTGAACCTTTCAGCGCTCGCACTGACATCTTTCGGTGGTCATTTTTCCCGGATGCTATAGAACAATGGAATTCTTTACCCCAACATGTTATTAATAGTACCGATGTGCAAACTTTTGACAAAGAAATTGATGCTTATTTTGGTAATGGTTGAAGTACTGCCCATTCTGTTTTCCTGTGTTTATTGCTTAGTGGTTTTTTTAGGTGTTCTGTTTGTACTCATATTGTACTCCCTCCCTGTTATGACCCTCAAGCGAGGGTTGACAGTATTATTAAATAAAAAATAATAAATAAAAAAAACTTTGTGTGCGTGTTATTTTGTGGCCAAAGCATGTCAGTAAGCATGTCGGCATTTATCCACCTGCCATCAAACATTCTAGCGATATCGCCAGTGGCGACGTAGGTTCCAGAAAAATCTGAAATGCTCACAAAGTAGGCATAATTTCAACAAAATTATCTACTGCAGCCCTGAAGCTTCTGGAACACTGTAAGCGCAGTTTGCGCTGAGAATCGCGTACGGCGTAAAAGGGTGATAAGAAAACTTGAGGAAGGAACATGGCAATATGATTACGAGGGACACCATAGTGATATGATATATCCGAATGCTTTGAATATTCGAGCGAATATTACAGTAGTCAAATTCGCTTCGATTTGAACTTATGAATGAATAATGAATGAAACTGAATGAAATAATGAATGAACTTATGAATGAAAAATGAATGAATAAATATATTAAACCGCATGTCACACCCAGCAAAGATCGTTTCACTGCAGTTAATCAATGATAAGCCGTGAAAGCATGTATTCAGGCAAAATCCAGATTGCCGCAAAGCCCCACTTCAAACATACTATGCTCACATCAATTTGTTTTTAAGTTTAAAAGCTTGTTACACCGGCTTATAAGCTCCAAGTATCACGATCATTAGGAAGCTAACTATGCCCGCTGCAGGACATAGCCTCTCCCATGTTCCACCAGTCAACTCGGTCCTGTGCTTGCTGCTGCCACTTTATTCCCACAAACTTCCTTATCTCATCTGCCCACCTCACTTTCTGTCTCCCCTTCACCCACTTGCTTTCTCTTATAATCCAGTCTGTGATCCTTGATGACCTGCGGTTATCTCGCCTTCACGCTAGGTGCCCTGCACATGACCATTTTTTCTGCTTGATTTCGACTATGATGTCCTTATCACCTGTCTGTTCCCTGATACACCCTGCTCTCTTCTCTGCTAAGGTTACACCTACCATTTTTCTTTCCATTGCTGGCTGCGTCATCCTCAACTTAAGCTGAATCCTCTTGGTAATCCTTCAGTACGGGCAGTACCAGCTCACAAACTCACGAGACGAAGAGAAGAGACACAAACAAGCGCTGACTCTCAACTGAAGAATTTATTTAAATATATAAGTTATCTGATCACATAAGATAAAAACGCACAGAACATGCGCAAAGGGCCAGCAAAGGATCGTGTCGACATCATTAACAATTTTACGCTACAGGTTACTGCGCAGGCGCGGCATATTCCATTCAAACAAACATGCTACTGATTAAGATTTCTTCTTTTTCATGTAACGATATTGATGTCTGACTGACACAGGACTCCCCTTCTTTTTTTTGATATATAATGCCTCCACTAGTTCTCTTGTGATCTGATCGCTACGTTTGAAGAGCACTGTCGTTTCGTTGAACAAGGGCCTGCATCCACACGTGTGGCAGTGCGAAGGCAAATTCACGTACATACTGGTCTTGAAGGTTCCGGAGTGTTCTTTTAATCGTAAATAGAGACAACGCCCCGTTTGCCCAATATAAACCCTTCCGCATGTTAAAGGAATTTTGTACACCACCCCAAGTACACAGAGTAGTGAGGCGTCCTTGTGTTTTACACCACATTTATTTTGGCTAGAGCTCTTTTTCTTATGCTTTTATCATCTTTTGATCATGCTTTTATGATGTTGGGAGGCCTGTGAAGCAGCTACGCTGGTTCACAAGCCTCCCAACACCAGATTTGCCAGCAATGGCCTCACTATAGCTGCATGTAATAAAACTGAATTGCAGCTGCTCTGACCAGGAGGAATGCTTTTATTAATGAGATGACATTCAAAAAAAAGCACGCGAGAATTTACAATTTCGACCCTAGCAACCTTGAGTTCGAAAGGACAGGGTCCTTTAGGGGGCTTTTAACCGCCAAAGCAATTATAAACCCGAATGTGCTGGTGGAAGGAATTACAAAACGGCTCTTATGTATGATGTTCCATGGATAAAGTGTATTAGAGGAAAAGTGTCAACGCGTTCCCACCATTTATGTGTTCTGCATACGCAAAGCACAGAAAATTAGATCGTGATGTCCACACATAGACGTGACAGACATTCTGGCAGCATGCGTGGAGTTTGTCGGACCAATGGGCCCTTACCTGTAGCACGGACGATGAAAGCAGCGCGAGGAGAGCTCTGCAGTTATTAGTCAGAATTACTTTATCACATTCCGCACAACTCTTCAAACGAGCTATCAGCTAACGTTCCTGAAATGGACGTCTATCGACAATTTGCCGTCACAGTTTCACGCAAACAATTGGACTAGACTTCATTAGCCACTGTGGAGAGAGGATTTCGCTGTTAAGCAGACTTGCCCAACAGAGTTGTATAGGTACTAAACATGCCAAAAATAATATCGTGGATTTTAGGATGCACGCACGACTGCTGTTTATTCAGCGTAATAAAATAGGGTACGTAATTGTGACCTCAGTGGCCCCAAGAACAAGGTGCACATGTATTGATGCCCCAGCATGGCGATTGCCGGTGAGACGCTCCCAAATCCGAATTCGGCGCACTTTGGCCCAAGTTCCGTTGATATTATCAGGATGGCACAGTAAATCTGACTTGGTGTGCTTTGGCACAGTTGGCGCAGGAGTGGGATCACTGCCAATGCCACCCCAAGTATGCGTGATGTAAAATGCCAAGCTGGGGTTATTTAAGGTATTAAATAAACAAATTAACAAATGGATGGTTAGATTGATAGTCAAATAAATAAATAAATAAATAAATAAATAAATAAATGGTATTCCTAGGCAGAAATGTGAGCATGTTGCCCGCCCACTTGCTCTTACCAGGGATCAAAGCACTTGCGGACAGGGGGCCCAGACTTGTTGTTCATTGGGATGAAGTCATAGAAACGACGCAATTCCATCATGGCGTCCACGTCATTTTCAAATGCCTTGTGAGCCACACCTGGGTTTTCACAAAAAATTCATAAGAATAGGAAGCCCCTTTATGGCTCAAATGCCGGAAACATGTTTTGTTTTAGGGCATAGAACACTTGGGAGAAAGACCCAATTCATTTCGAAGTAAAGAGAGAGAGATGATTTATTAGAAGGCGGAGAGGCCCATTTCAATTCGAAGTAGCACATAGTTTTTAACACTATTCCTGCTCCTTCATGTTAAGAATTTAGTTCACAAGGCAAAGAATTGGGTCACAGTGATTATGATGTTCATAAAGCCTAATAATGAACGCGAGAACGACACGACATGATTAAAGGTGTGTTGGTAACATTATCCAGCAAAGGTCCTTGAAATTTGCAAAGTCTGGCTCATCCGGTATGCAAGGTTATTTGTATTTACTCAGAAAAATTGAACAATGGACAATTATATGCCGCTGAAATTAATGACATAATGGCAAGCTGGAGTGAAAAAGTCAAGCATCTATCTTTTAAATGTTTTTTTTTTTCTGGATTTTCAAGCAATTTTCACGGTAAAGAGTGGATTTCTCGCTTTGTTCAACATTGCTTTCCGCTGATCGTCGCAGCAGGAACGATAGGCCATTTCTTTTTTTACAAGCAAATTAACAGCCTGAAAATTGATGTGTTTGATGCAGAGCTGTGCGAATGGCTAAATTTTGGGAGTGGAGCCATTCAAATACAGTTGAATCCAGTTATAACGATCCCAAATATAATGATCTATAACGAGTTATGATTTATGAGCTTCGACTAATCACAGCAGTGGCGAGACTCGCAATGGCGGCCGCAGCGCCTGTTGCTTGTTTTCGGCAAAATAAAGTTAATTGCAATGGTTTATGCAAACTTTCGACTTTATTTTTTAGTTCACCGCCCGAAATTACGTAACATGACACCATAATCTTTTGTTTTTTAAGTGTTTCAGTGTCCCTTTAAGTGAAACAGTGTCAGTTCATTGTAAATGCGGTTGAATCGTCTCGTAAGCATGCAGGTATAGGTTCAAGACATGATTCGTCTTAAATCACTGAAGCAGTTAGCACTTTAATATAAAATGCCCAAAAAAAAAAACACCAGGTCGTGGCAACCAGATGGTGGCAACCAAGTCGTGCCCTTGCCAACGACCTGGTTGCCAAGGGAACATTTTTAAGGCTGAATCCATTCAGAAAGAACTTCTGGAATAATGACCCTTTTTCATGGCACTTTAAAATTCATCATAAAGAGGTTTGACTGTATTCAAGTGAGTGTGATTCAAATAGAATAATTTTCTAATATTTCTCAAATATTCATCATAAAGAGGTTTGACTGTATTTAAGTGAGTGTGATTCAAATAGAATAATTTTCTAATATTTCTCAAATATTTTTAAAATAGTTTTTGAATACTTCAAAGTGAAATTGTAGAAGAGAATTTCTAAGCATATTCTCATGAGATGGCAAGTGCTTGTTTCAGCTAGAAGCACTGGTTGTATTGTGCTTCACAGTGATCTTATGAGGAATGAAGCCATGTACAGTCCGTTTCGCACTTAGGGGAAATTTCGGAGCGCATGGCACGTGATGTGACCAGCGCTGAAGTTGGGTGCCGCTGTAACCGACAACGTGGTTCAACACTACCTGTCAGCGCACGCGCGAGCTGCTGCCCACACGAGACTGGACCGTGATGTGATGTGCTCCGAAATTTCTCTCAAGTGTGAAGCAGACTGCACATGATTTGGAGCAAGCAAAGTCTTGCCAGCGACACTTTATATGTGCAAGGCCAAGATGCTGTTTTTCCAGCCTCGTCTTTCGACATCAGTGGTAGTCCAACAGATGCGTGGTCATTCCTGGAACAGATTATGTCAGCTGGTGAACCCCAGTGACCGCCACCTAATGGCCAAGAAGCAATAATCCTTTAGCGTAGCGCATTTAGCCATTGAGCAGACTTGCACAACAGAAGCTGCCGGGACGCTGCGCATGATGTCGTGGCTTAATCACAACGTATGCACAAGCAGTGTTTAATCTATAGAATAATTCTTGGTACATGGCTGCAACTTTGGTGGACCCGTGATTAAGTTGCTCATCTTTTGTGGTGCCGGCAGTGCGATTCACACCGACAGACACTGTCAAACCAGAGACACCAAATAGGTAAAGTCTCGTGCAATTTATGCCAACTTCATCTGGATGTCGCAGTTAATCAAATTTGGCAACCTTTGGTGCAGTTGGTGAAAAGGTAGAATCACTGCTTTGTTTCAACAAAATAATCTGATGCCTGAGCCAATGGCTTAATTACACATTCTGTCCCGGCAGTAACAGGACCAATTTTTTCCCGCAACAATGTAGTGAAAGAGGAGAATAATACCATATGTGGGCAAAATAAATGGAACTCACTCAATTTTTGTTTCCCTTAGAACTCACTCGAACTCAGACTTGCCAACATTTAATTGAAGTAGACTCCCCCAGACTCACATTTCTCTTCAACCAAACCCACTCGGACTAACTCTCGCAGATTGTTTTTGTCAACGAGGCTTACTCGGACTGATACTCGCTAAACTTTTCCTCAAACAGACTCACTCGAACTCAGACTCACCAAAATTTCATTGAAGCAGACTCCCTCAGACTCGCATTTCTCTCCAATTAAACTCACTCGGATTAACATTCGCAGATTGTTTTCGTCAGCGAGACTCACTTTGACTGATACTCACTAAACTTTTTCTCAGACGAACTCATTCGGACTTGCCAAAATTTAATTGAAGCAGACTCCCTCAGACTCTCATTTCTCTCCAACCAAACTCACTCAGACTAACACTCGCAGATTGTTTTTGTCAGCGGGACTTACTCGGACTGACTAAGCTTTTCCCTAAGCTTTTCCTCAAAGAGACTCACTCGGACTCAGACTCGCCAAAATTTCATTGAAGCAGACTCCCTCAGTCTCGCATTTCTCTCCAGCCAAACTCACTCGGAATAACACTCGCAGATTGTTTTTTGTCAGCGGGGCCCACTCGGACCGATACTCACTAAACTTTTCCTCAGACGAACTCATTTGGACTCACCAAAACTTCATTGAAGCAGACTCCCTCAGACTCTCATTTCTCTCCAACCAAACTCGCTCGGATTAACCCTTGCAGATTGTTTTGGTCAGCGAGACTCACTCGGACTGATACTCACCAAACTTTTTCTCAAACAGACTCACTTGAACTCAGACTCACCAAAATTTCGTTGAAGCAGACTCCCTCAGACTCGCATTTCTCTCCAACCAAACTCACTCAGATTTACACTCGCTGATTGTTTTCATCAGTGGGACTCACTCAGACTGATACTCACTAAACTTTTTTTCAAACGGAGTCAAACGGAATCAGACTCGCCAAATTTTTCTCCAACCAAGCTCACTCTAATAGTCGCAGATTGTTTTCGTCAGCGAGAGTCACTCGAACTAATACTCACAAATCTTTTGCTCGGACTCAGACTCACCAAAATTTTGTTGAAGCAGACTCACTAAGACTCGCGAAGTTTCTCTCCAACCAAACTCACTCGGACTAACACTCGCAGATTGCTTTCGTCAGCGGGACTCACTCGGACTGATGCTCACTAAACTTTTCCTCAAACTCGCTCAGAATTGCCCAAATTTCATTGATGCAGACTCACTAAGACACGAGAAATTTCTCTCCAATCAAACTCACTCTGACTGTAACGTGCACCCAAATCTGAGCACACGTGCCCTCAGCATTTTCGCCTCCATCGAAAATGCAGCAGCCACAGCCAGGATTCGATCCCACAACCTGCGGGTCAGCAGTCAAATACTTTAGTCCACCGCAGAGGGGCTCGTTACATCTAGAATTTTTCTAACTGATTGATTGATTTGTGGGGTTTAACGTCCCAAAACCACCATTTGATTATAAGAGACGCCGTAGTGGAGGGCTCCGGAAATTTTGACCACCTGGGGTTCTTTAACGTGCACCCAAATCTGAGTACACGGGCCTACAACATTCCCGCCTCCATCAGAAATGCAGCCGCCACAGCCAGGATTTGATCCCGCGACCTGCGGGTCAGCAGCCGAGTACCTTAGCCACTAGACCACCGTGGCGGGGCAAAATTTTTTCTAACTGGGTTTGACTGTACTTTGAAAACTGTTAGCTCGATGTTTCTAAGTTGCCATTAAATCTTTGAAAATAATTCAGTCTTGGTACTTGCTGGACAAACCTTATATACATACGGTAAAAACCGGCGTAAAGTTCGAGTTTTCAGATACACAAGCATCTTATGCTCAGGGCAGTGTCCGTTCTGCCACATCCACACCCATACTGCACATGCACTACTCTCCCTCATTCTCCTCGCCGATACAAGTGTTTGCTCTCCTCTCCCCCTTTCGGCCACTAACGCGATGCAGCAAATAATTGCATACAACTATCTCTCTCCCTCTAAGGGTATGCCGGTAGGTAGCGCACTTGTCGTGGTACAGTATAAATAGCGTTCACTATGCTTCCGTCATTCTCTCTCTGTGCAACGGTGTGCGAAACGCAACAAACAACTTCAATGTCAGCGCTAGTCGCAGCAGTAGCGCCACCGCCATGGAGCACAGGAAGGCTTCGGGAAACCAAACATAAATGTCAGCATCAGCAAGTGGACCTTCAACTTCAGGCCAGGGTCCGCACTGAAACCAAAGCACCTGCCCACGCTGCACCCGGTCGAAGAATGTACCTGTTCCGGGGCCTGGACATGATCCTGTGCAGAAACCTGAGGCCACTGCCCTCCGTTCGACTGATCACAAACCATCGTCTTCAAGATACAGCGCACACCAATGCTAGGAATCATGTACGATCTCCAAATAAAAATGTAACCCCATAGAGACACCTCCTCTCTTCACAATATATTTTCTTACTTTAACTTTTATTGGGTTGTGTTGCCAAGTGAAACAAAACAGGAACTCGATGCCCACCCCGTATGCTTTCACATCCCACCTTGCTTGCCCGTAGGGGGAGATGATGTGTAATTTTTTTTCTAGATGATGAGATGAAATTTCTGGCCTGTGCTATATGCTGACCCTAAGAATTTTCCGCCAGAATTCACAGTTTTCCTTTGAGTAGAGCACAGTGCTATCATCATCATCAGTCTTATGCACAACAGTCGCCATCGCCACGCTTGGCGCACTTCTCGATGGCCATGATTTTATGCTATCAGTATTCGGCCACCTCCAAAGAAAGGTGATCCCAGCTGCCAAAACTATTGGCCACTGTTTTGTGGGAAGGTAGTTCAGCACAAACGAGCAATGCATTCGTGGCTGGGGGAAACAGAAAGCCCTGTTTGTGTGCAGTGGTTTGAGAAGTTTGCGGGCGAGCCGAAAATAGGCACATTTTCTGCCAGTTAATGGTAATTGAGAGACTGTTGGGGAACAACAGAGCACTGCTGGGGCTTCAATCAATACTTGTGCCTGACACGCTTCACTGTTACCTTTGTGAAGTGACTCCGAGCTCGTCGTCATCCTGGGAGAGATCACATCTCCCGGGATCAGATCCCGGCTGCAGCCGCTTGATGTGTGCCTAAATAAAACATTTAGGAACGACATCAAGCGCCTCCATATGAAGTGGATGAGGCCCGGAGAGCCCCCCATCAGACAGCTAAAACAGACCTCGCAAGCGATACTGTGCCCATGGGTCAGACCTTCAAGAAGAGCTCCATTTCAAACTCCCCAAATGGCACCGAAGATGAGGTATTGTGGGAAGACATCTCTGACAAGGGAGTTCCAGAAAAAAGCCCATCATGAAATGATGAATGAGTGCATAAATCAACGTATTAAGTCTGTTTTACTCAGAATATACTCAGGTGAAACCTTTTTTCTTTCCTCACATTTGCGATTACTAAAATACACCGGGTATTATACGTGGGTCAAAGCTACATGTGGGTTTTTACGGTATTTACGACGGACCCTTCATTCCTTGCTGAAGCTTTAGTTCAAAATGCAATACACTCAAACCTCATAACAAAATCACAACTGCCACGAAAATACATTGTTATATCAGAAAATTCATTGTAAACAGATATTTGTAGCACTGTATCTATGACGGAACTATTTTTCATTTAGTTCGTTACAAGTGATAATTTGTTATATCAAGATTTGAAGCACCCTCGAGCAATCACACATCTAAACGTACAGATAAAAATTGGGTAAGAAAGGGTATTAGTAGTTACCAGAGGTGACTGTATGAGTTTTGGCCCCACCAAGCTCCTCCTGAGTAACATCTTCATTCGTAACAGCCTGCGACAATCACAGAGCGATATCATTCGCTCAAGGCCCGATAAAGTGTAGAACAAATGAAGGGCACTCGAACAGTGTTTGCCGTTGCTAAACTTTCAAGCATAAGGAAATGAACAATTTGCTAACACTCTGTAACGAGCTCACCAATTCTTGTTTTTCATGATCCCAGGAGAGTGGCGGAAGCGTGCAGTCTTTACATAAAAATAAGAGAAGCATCTACTATAGCATTTCAAATTACTGATATATCGAGCTGCTTTGCAATCTACTGTGGTTTCTATATATCTTGGTATGACGGCATGAATTCCTTTAAAATGTGACCACACTAACTACAGACTATGTTCTGCCAAACAGCTGCTGCTCGCTGCTTTAGGAGCTGCTCAGTTGTCCACTTTCAATATTTTTAGTGAATGTCAAGAACATGACTCATAAGTGCTGTTGCATTTTTTAATCCCTACAATGAGCCAGCCGACTGAAGAGAAGAAATGAGGCTCTTACAACATGCAGAATGTCAAGGCCACCAGGTAAAAATTTCATTTGAGGTTATTATGTTAGGACCTTTATCTGCATAATTATCTGCATACAATTATCGTAATTGAGTGCTTAATAAACTGAAACTGAGAAAAAAAAGGTGACTAAGCATGTGAGCATGCTGATTCATACCTTTACGACGTCTGGGCCAGTGATGAAGAGATAGGAAGTGTCCTGCAAAAAATAAAGAAGAGCGCAAAAATGTTTTCAAATTTTGAATGAATAAATGATTACAAAATAGGATGCAGATGAGCTTCTCAAGTTCTCCTTAGTACCCTTAAAAACTTAGAACTACTAAGGAAACAGTAATGCATGTTACTCAAAGTTCTATAGTATTAGGACTATTTGCATGCATGCACAATTAGGACCAGTTCTTGAAGAATCATTCAGAATAACACTTTTCCTTTCACATGTTTTACTGCCTAATGTGAAATCTTGTAAAATGTGAGTAAGTGCGGTAATAATATAAGTCTGGTTTCACGAGAGAGAACTTGATGAACCTGTTTGAGTATACTACATAGGCGCGGGCGGCTGTTGTACGGCGCCAGCTGCGCTCCCCTTAGAAAAGCAATGTGAGCGGCGGCAGAGACAGCACTAGCATGTGAAGCAGACGATGCAGAGAAGGCTCTTGTAACTTTCGTCATCGCATTCATAGAGCAGCAGCAATGTTTCCTTTTAAACAATTCGAAGCTGTACGCCGTTGTAATTGTCTCCCAAGGCAAAGAGAAGAGGCAGCAACAGAGTTTTTTGAACAGTGGATGAAGCAGTAGACTGTCGGACATGTGTTCAGATAATGGGGCCCGTCGTCGAGCTTCTAGGAAACTCTTGCGCCATCGTTTGCGGTGATGCCAGTGTTTAATGATCGCCAAGCCATCTAAAAAGGATGACATGTTCTTGCGTGTCTTTGCACCGAGGAGCGCCATCAGAACATCAAGTGACTCAGGTTCTTTGTGTGGTGCTGTGCTTTTAGACATTTGTTTACGTTCGGAGGCCGACTAGTAGGGGCACAATGCCTACTTTCTTTCAAGACGGCAAGTGAGACAGGCCTGACTGGAGAAAATTGTGGACGATCTCCCTGACGGGAACCCTGATTGGATGAAAAGCAGCATGGATGCACACAGCGTTGACCCGGTTGAAACGAGCAGCGACGCGGGTGCTGGAAAAACGTTTTCAAGCGAAATTCTGTGTAGCATTTACTCGCGTAAACATTTGTTTGAAATGCAAAAAGAAGGGAGGCGAGTTGGGTTCCGCATGAGTTTCATCGCAGATAAACAAGCCGAAAAAGTAGACAGATTTAGTTGCCCATACACGGCAGCTGTACTGACGCAGCCTGCCAGCCCTTTTAAATGACAGGCTGCGTCCGTACAGCTACTGCGAACGCGCAAATAAATCTGTCTAGTGTTTCCACTCGACATGCAGTCGAGCATTGTGGATGGTGGAGAGGGTGAAGCAAGAGAGAAGTGTGTTGTGAGCGGGCGGAAAGGCCGCCAGCTACTACGAGTGAGGAAGAGTGTCACGGCAATGTGCAGCTATGACTTGACCTACATGGCATTGCTCCAATAACTGCGGCGAAGGGGTTAGAACGAACGTATGGGACAGTGTCACAAAGGCTAGTCAAAAAGCTGATTCGTATCTAAAGTTGTAAATAAACTTATTTGCATTAAAACTGCCAAACTTGCTGTTCTGCACTGTTGCCTGGAGGAAAGGCGAGTCCTGACAACTCAAGTGAACTAATGATTATGGCAGTTACACTGCGCGGTCGCTTTCAAGGCTTAGCTACAAGGCAAGCTAGCATATGTGTTTTTGTGGGTCTGTTTTAGAGAACGGTTGCCACTTGCATGAAGCAGGCCATGTGCGTGAAATCATGGAATGTAAAGGCAATGTGTGCAAATTTAGTTGTAAGTGCACCCCGCAGATGAAGCTCAATGCAACAAGCTACGCAATAATAGCTCACCTTTTTTATGTTCATTTTAAGTGCGAAGCATTTCTTAGCGAACCAAGTGCACCGAGAATTTCTATCTACATGCCTATCTATCTAGATGCCAAAGTCAATAGGTGCCCTGGTGGTCACCTCTTTGAGCTTAATAATAGTGACCAATATTGGCATAGGTGCTTGCCAAGCGTATGATGAAGATGACTATCTGGCTGTGACATGAGTAAAGCGAAAATCTCGGCATGTATGTCGCGAGACCCTTTCCTACCACTTCGTGTGGCACATACATGAGCTGTGAGATGCGTATATGAGCCGCAGGTGATTCACGGTTTATATCTACAGAGAAGCGGCGAGAACAGACATCGGTAACTTTTTTTTTTTTTTACTCTGTTGACTGTGCAAAAACAGTATTCTTAGCCGAGTAAAGATAGCGTTTCACCCACTTGAATTTTCGAACGTCAAATGCCCGCTCATGACCGATTGGTGCCAAGATTTCTGCTTCCCATCGATGCCTTTGCATCCCCTAAGAAGACGACATGAGCGTCTCCAGAAAGTCCTTGCGACGCTAAAGGAGGAAAACAACAATGCCCACCAAGTATGCACTGAAATGGTTTGTAGGCTTTGCGTTGTCCCAATCGTCCAGCACCTGCTCGGTCACACCTTTTTTTTTCCTGAAATAAATCTCAATGCTTCAAAGAAGCTTCATGTTCTTTTACTTAAATAAGAACATTTTATTAATTTCCTCCCAAATGAATATAATATTTATTGCATGGTGGTCGTGCAAAAAACTACATGTTGGATGCGCTTGCGAAAACGAAATCGCACAAAAACAAACTACTTGGCGTAGTAACACATGTGCAGAAGCTCCGCCTTCGTAGCTTTGGCTGTGCTGCCCCAGAAAGTTGTCGCCAAGTATAGTAAGAAAGACAGGTAGACTGACACACCCTGTGTCCCCATATTTGTTCAGATGCCTCTGCACAATGCTTGCTTTCATTCCCTCCATTTCATTCCAAACATTTTGCCCAATGAAATCGGACATACGTTTTGGCAAAACATTCCAGTGGATGGCCCAATGCTCAGTGTGTAAAGAGAATTTATTGATGGACTGAGCAAGCGGGTGGTAGCTCGAAAGGAACGCAGGCGGACCAAGATGACGGTGCTTGATCGCCGATCTCGTGCCTTTTTCTTGTGTTGATGATAGCTGACCTGATGATATCAACGTCTTTCTTATTCACTATAATTACCCCCAGCGAAAAAGTTGAAGCCATTCTGGCAATCTAACACATGGGGAGAAGCGGGTCAAAGTAGGGCTTCAGACGGTTTACGTGAACGATATCACGTCCACGCCGACGACGGTCGCTTGGTGGCGTGAGGGTTCCAATAGCATAGTTCACGGGTGAGGTACGATCGACCACACGGTAGGGACCATGATAATTAGAGCGTAGCTTGGGTGATACACCAGGGGCGCAGGGCGGTACATGAAGCCATACAAGTGCTCCAGGAACGAACGTTGGTGTAGAACGATGGTCGTCGTCACGGGCCTCCTTCTGGCACTATTGGTCGAATGTAGTAAGCCGCTTGACTAACTTGCGGCACTCTTCTGCGTAACGAGCGGCTTCCGAGACAGGCGTGCATTCGGAGGGATCTGGCGAGTATGGCAGTAAAATGTCGATGGTGTGCGACAGTTGGCGACCGGACAGGAGAAAAAATGGGGAAAACTTGGTAGTGACTTCCGTAGCGGTGTTATACGCGTATGTCACAAATGGGAGAACGAGCTCCCAGTTTGTTTGATCAGAAGCAACATGCGTAGCCAGCATGTCCCCCAGAGTACGAGTAAACCACTCAGTCAAGCCATTTGTCTGTGGGTGGTAGGCTGTACTCTTCCAGTGTACAATATGGCACTGTTGGAGAAGTGCTTGGATTACATCAGAGAGGAAAACATGCCCTCGGTCACTGAGGAGTTCTCGAGGAGGATTATGACGAAGCACAAAACGATTGAGTATGAAAGTTGCAACGTCTTGTGCTGCAGCTGTGGGGAGAGCAGCAGTTTCAGCGTACCGTGTTAGATGATCCACTGCCACGATAGCCCATCGGTTGCCTGCCGTTATTAATGGTAGTGGTCCGTAGAGGTCAATTCCTACACGGTCGAATGGGCGGTCTGGGCATGGAAGTGGCTGCAATGAACCTGTTGCCGGATGTGGTGGGCTTTTCCGCCGCTGACATTCGTGGCAGCCGCGAATGAACTGGCGGACGAAGGTAAACATTCCACGCCAGTAATAACTTTTTCGTAGGCGCTTGTAGGTCTTAAAAACACCGGCGTGAGCACATTGCGGGTCGGAATGAAACGACGCGCAGATAGTAGAGCGCAGCGTTCGGGGAATGACTAGGAGCCATTTGCTACCATCTCCTGAATAGTTGCGCTGGTACAAAAGGCCATCCCGAATACTGAAGTGCGGAGCCTAGCGGCGCAGGGTTAGAGTGGTTGGAAGTGTCGGTGTCTCGGATAATGTGTCAAGAAGCGAAGCGATCCATGGGTCATTGCGTTGTGCAGAAGAGATGGTGTCCTCGTCAAGAGCTGATAACGTGTTGTCCGAGGAAACAGATGCAATATCCGGGAATAGGGGAGATCGCGACAGTGCATGAGCATCGGTATGCTTGTGGCCGGAACGATATACAACGCGAATGTCATATTCTTGAAGCCGAAGAGCCCAACGGGCAAAACGACCCGATGGGTCCTTGAACGAAGATAACCAGCATAATGCATGGTGGTCCGTTACTACATCGAAAGCACGGCCATAGAGGTATGGGCGGAACTTGACAAGCGCCCAAACGATCGTCAAGCATTCCTTCCCGGTGATGCTGTAGTTTGATTCAGCCTTGGTGAGAGTTCTGCTGGCATAGGCGACGACATACTCGGCGAATCCAGGCTCGTGTTGCGCGAGAACCGCACCGAGGCCGACACCACTGGCGTCGGTGTGGACCTCAGTTGCTGCCGTAGGATCGTAGCGACGCAGTATTGGTGGTGAAGTGAGGAGACGACGAAGGGTACAGAAGGCTTAGTCACACTCACACAAGACCATGACGAAATATCAGTGGTGCTGCCTATAAGTTCGGTAAAAGGCGCAATGATAGAGGCGAAGTTGCGCACGAACCGGCGAAAGTAGGAGCATAACCCCACGAAGCTCCATAACTGCTTCAAAGTCGTTGGTTTGGGGAAGTCGGCGACAGCACGTAACTTAGC